AAAAAATATTTTGCAAATTCACCTAAAGGAACATATTCTTCAGATTCCATGACTGATGTTTCTGATACCAAAGCAACATACTCTTGATCACTCTAAAAATATTTAGAATCTTTATCAGCTTCTTCTATAAACAGAAATAGTTCTGTTTTATCAAAATTATTTATAAAGGTTATTATAATATAGGTATAATAATATATTATTTATATTTGCAGACATACTGCCTAAAACTTTTTATATCCTAGATTTTAACAAAAGTTCACTCAATATTGTACTTGTGATTGATCTCGCGTAATAAATTATTTAATTAATTATTACTAAAGCATTTTTAATACAACTATGACTTTTTGATAATTAAATTAGAGCTCTACTGAAAATGCATTGGTAATGATTAATATTACGAATTAATTATTAAAAGTCTTTAGAAATAACAACAAATTTCCGAGGGAGAAAACTTGAAAAAGACCTTCAAACTTATCGTGATATGAGAAGTTGTAAAGTCCTGTAAACAATATGAATTATATAATAATTAAATTTATTTGCTCTGCTTTGTTTCTTATTTATTTTAGTCTCGATGAAACCTGTTTTAAATTTATAAATAACTGTTTTTAAAAAATTAGGTGACCTAATTTACTGTTTTCTGGTCTGTTACGAGAGATTTGAACAAATGGACCATTGAACCGAAATATGCAAATTTAATTAACAAGATGAACAGATAAATGGAGAAAGCTGCTATACATTCAATTAAAAAGTCAATATGCTATAGGTTGTTGTTCAATTAAACATTAAACTTAAAAATTAGCCATATTCATTCAGACAGTTATGTTAAAACTATTTAGTACTTTTCTAATAAATTTCACGTGTTTATTTATTGATTGTTTTATTGTTGGTTATTTATTTGACCATTATTTTTTTAATATTTAGGTTTTTTAGGGTTTTATAACTGGTAAGTATCTATTTCTTATTACAAAAAAATTTGAAATACTTCTGATATCTCGTACACTAAAGATGCTTTAAATAATAAAAAGAAAATCTACTCTTCACCTGGCTGTTCATATTAACATTACATTGAAAAAATCAAGATATCCACGTTTGAAAACGTAACGAAGGTCAGATTTTTTCACGCTTGAACGAACTGTGAAAACCACATCTTGTTATCATGTTTAGTTTCGGAGATATTTGATATTTTCAAGGGTATTGTAAACGTCAATTAAAAATAGCAACACCTAAATGGTCCTTAGACTCGATATTTGTTTTTTTTCTATTTGAGAAATTGGAAACAAACAGGGTTAAAGCACAAGTGTACCTTGTATAATTTAAAATTTGAAACGTGAAGATTTTGTTGCGGTGCAACTTTTTTGAGATATTTTGTTTTTACTAGAACTACAGAAAAATCAATCTCGAGTGATTATACTCTGTATAATGTTGCCGGTTGACGCTCTAAAAGGATTAAATACAACAATGTCTTAGGTCAATGCATATTGTTTTGTAAACCTATGAATTAGAGCATATTCAATATTTCTTTAGTTCTCTTATTTTATAAGCAATCAGTCTCGGGGTCAACACCCGGTATATGGACTGGCTAAAAATAGACTAATATAAACAGTGACAGATATCTTGTAAATTATAAATAATTTTAGTTAAATGGTCGGCCTATCTTGAATAACTCTTCGAGTTGTGTGCAAATTTAACCCAGTGGGTTTTATGTTTTTTTTTTATAAAAATGAAATACGAGATGGGAGTGACTGACTCCTCGGGCCCTCCAGTGGCGGAGAATTATTTTCGAAAACAGGGATTCGATTTTATTAGTTTCCAAATTCTTATTTTCAGATTATTGAAGAATTTTTACATTGTTACGAGGGCGGGTCAATAAGTCCGTGACTTTTTAAATTTCCCGCCTCTTAATTGAAATGGCAACACTGCTCCTGTCAACAGGCAACAGTCAGTTAACTCCTGTCTAAATTTGAACAAGCTGCGTCATTTAGTTTGTGTTTGGCAGCCGTTGATAGCAGACTACCGCGCGTTTTGAGAAGAAAATGGAAAAAAGTGAATTTCGTGTGCTCATTAAGCATTATTTGCGGAAAAAAACATCACTCAAACCAAGGCTAAGCTTGATAAATATTATGGGGACTCTGCACCATCCATTTCCATGGTAAAGAAGTGGCTTATTGAATTTCGATGTGGCCGTACAAGCACGGAAGATGCCGAACGTTCTGGACGCCCAGTCTACATCCGAATCAATTGAAAAAAATCACGATATGGTTTTAGCCCATCGGAGATTGAAAGTGAGAGAGATTGTGGAAGCCATAGGCATCTCACATGAATGATCACTTGGGTATGAGAAAGCTTTCCGCAAGATGGGTGCCGCGTTTGCTCACAATCGACCACAAACGCAACCGTGTGCCAATTTCGCAGGAATGTTTGGCGTTGTTCAACCGCAATATGGACGAGTTTTTGCGCCGTTTCGTAACCGTGGACGAAACGTGGATCCACCACAACACACTGGAGACCAAACAGCAGTCAAAACAGTGGGTTCTCGGGGTGAATCGGTGCCAAAGAAGGCAAAGGTGGGTTTGTCAGCCAATAAAGTCATGGCGACCGTTTTTTGGGATGCACGCGGTATAATCCACATTGACTACCTTCAAAAGGTGAAAACGATCAATGGCGAATATTATATCAACTTACTGGGTCGATTCAATGAGGAATTGAAAAAAAAACTACCGCATTTGGCCAAGAAAAAAGTTCTTTTCCACCAGGACAACGCAAGGGTGCACACATGTGCAGTTTCCATGGCAAAAATCCATGAATTGGGTTACGAATCCCTCATCCGCCCTATTCTCCAGATTTAGCCTCGAGTGACTATTTCTTGTTCCCAAACTTGAAGAAATGGCTCGGCGGAAAGAGATTTGACTCCAACGACGAAATCATCTCACAAACAAATGCCTATTTTGATGACCTCGACAAATTATATTTTTCGGAAGGGATAAAAAAATTGGAGAAACGTTGGACTAAGTGTATAGAACTCAAAGGAGACTATGTTGAAAAATTAAATTACTTTTTATATAAAAACCTGTGTTTCATTCAAAAAGTCACGGACTTATTGACACGCCCTCGTATTAGTATAGAGGTACTTATTTTCCAAAATATCTTGTCCAAAAATTTAAAAAATTGTCTATAATGTGTTTACATTTACATTTCATTATACAACAAAGGGCAACATTTTTGAAAACTGTAAAAAGTGTATAATTTGTAGGCCAATGAGTTTCTCGAACTTTTTAAAGAAAACCTGCTAACGAAGTTTTAATGAAGTGAACGGTAATTTAAAAAAGTAGTAACTTATTAGGCAATATTGTCTATGAAACATTTAACAATTAAGATTATGAGTGATCCAAATTGAATCCATATTTCAAATGGAAAAAAGAAAACATATTTGTTATGAAAAACATTTATATTTTATTTCAATACAATAATTATGAAAAATTATATCTGACAAATGGCCACCTCAGAATTTCCTCACTCAGCCATTTGACGAAATTGTTCGTCACTTTTTCGCATAATGCAGGTTTTATTTCATCAATAACAGATCCGAAATTATCATTAAGCGCTTGGATCACATCTGGAATAAAAAACCAGTAGCCTTATATTCCATGATGTGGACGACCAATTCAAACTTCCGAATCGAGAAATAATACGGCCAGGAAAATGGATTTCCAAAAATGCAACAACTCGATTGCTTCCCGACTTGTGTGACACACAGCACCATTCTGCTGAAAATAGACATACGACAAAGCATCAATTACAGGCCAAAAAGAGTCAGTAATCACCAATAAATAACGCAGTCCTTTCACTGTAACAGTGGCACCAACCTAAATAAAAAATAGATATCTCTAGCCCAAAAAACCGCACCAAACTTCCACACTTGTAGTGAATCATTAGGTAGATACCTTAACCGTTGTTCTGGGATCTTCAAAACCATGCGAGAGTTTTTGTCAATGTTGCCAGAGACCCTTGTCGTTCTTAAAAAAATCTTAATTACCTCATAATTTAAGACAAGACAACCGCATATGCTATCAATTTTCTACTTCTCTCACTCACTACTCATTACACTATTTTGTAGTTGAACAGTTCAGTTGTTCATTTAAGTTATACTACAAGTTTAGTCTGTTTTAAAATAATAATTACGCACCTAAGTTAACCATATGCGAAAAACGGTAGCCTTTGCCCACGTAAATTGCTGTCTTTTTTACCTCTATCTCTTTCAACTCTGGTATCTTTAAAAATTTCCAGCATCCAGCCAGCGAAGCTACGGCGTTGTCCATGGTCTACCGGCTTCAATTCTTTTGCCAATTACACTTTCAGGACAAGACCTTTACTCGCAAAAGTACCTGTGGAGGTCTTCTTATTTCCCTGATTCTCCACATGTGTATAGGGACTTTCAGCAACACTTTTAGCTATGACTAGCAGTTTTCTTTTGATCTGGCTGGGCGACCAATATTTAACATTTTTACCTCATGAACGCTGTCAGAAGGTTCAATTTTTTTTTATTAAATCAACAATTATAGAGCTAGCAGGTGCATCATACTGACCAAAAGCTTCAATTTAATAGCAGTTTCTGCGAAATTTAAATAATGTTTTATTGGTAAATGAGCAGTACCAACAACGACCAATAATAGTGATTAGTCACTTAAGTGTACATTTACAACACACTGTACTTTCATAGAAAAGGTTAATTTGATACAAAATATTATTTAAAAATTTCGGAAGAAATTGTACCACAAAACGGATAACAACCCTATTCTGATATATTTATTCGGTTGTTATAAAAAAAATAATTTTCTTGGGGAGCACTGTCTCTGGCCTCTAGCTCATCTGCGCTACTGACGGCGGGCCTCCCTCTTCCAGTCCGAAGCCCCAGGCGACACTGTCGCTCCAAGCTACTGACGAATTAGCTGTCAGTTCAGTTAGAAACAGTACTCCAGAACAGTTCCAGCTCCGGTACAATCATGAGGGAAATCGTACACTTACAAGCCGGCCAATGCGGCAATCAAGTAGGAGCTAAGGTGAGTTTGTATAAAATTTCTCAAATTAGTATTGTGCTTTGTTTAATTCTCTTGGATCAATATTTTTGCGTAAAATATTTCAAAGTTATTGACGAAAGTGTTGTTATACAAAATCAAAAGTATAGAGTAGACGTTGTTTCGTATTAAAATTTTAAATCAGTTAAGATCGCACTTATTTTTTTTATTACAAGCTATTTTCTGAAAAATGATTTTAATGTAATATTAAATTTTTCTATTGTGTTTTTGCTTAATGTTTTGAAAATTTCAGTTCGTTTGTTAAAAGCACTTTAATTCACAATCAGCTGATCGAATTTTTTAAATTTAAAGTATTTTATTACAAATATACAGGGTGTTGCAAAATGCAATGCTCACATATTATCTGGTGACTGTAAAATAAACAATGCTCGGTTTCCGAGATATGGAGTGTTTAAGTTGTTACTATTGTTTTTTTCATTTTATTTATAAGACAAAGTGGCAACTATGAACTAGAATCATTCGGGCCTAGGTAAAATTTTGCCTCAACTTTGTAACATATTTTGATTGATTTTGGAATACTGCTTGAGGTTATTTACCTATTTGTCGCATAGTTTCAATTTATCCTCTATTTATTTTTTGGGGGTATTTTATCGCTTGTGACAAAAATTAATTAAACAAATTCTTGTGCCAAAAGGATCAGGGATTATTTTTATTAAAGTATTCGTGTCTAACCAAAAATTTCTCACTGAAAAAAGTAGAAAAAAAAATACAAAATACACATATGTCAGAGACATTATGACAATTATTGTTAACGTAAACTTACAATAATGCTTCTTTTTCTATTAAATTATCAAATCTTAATCATCGTTATAGGTTTTGATAATGAAAAAGATACATTTTTCAAAGTGTCTTGTTTGTTTGTCTGCATTTTCAGTGTGAGTATTTTGATTGGGCAAAAAAAATATTAGGCAAATAAAAATAACCGTTGACTGATCCTGTTCATGTAAGGATTTATTTGATTAATTTTCTACAGGTGCAAAATACCAGATAAACCTAGGCAAAACGTAATTTTTAAGTTTGGATTTTCTTCTCAAAGAAAACGTTTCTTTCTCTTTTAATTTATCGATCTTTGAGTCTAAATAATCAAAAGAACTTTATTACATTATTTAGTATTACGATTGGATGGTAATTTTCAGTTCTGATATTAAATAAATGAAAAAATTGTTTACTAGGTTTCACTTAATCCAACGTGTTTTGAAAAATATGATATGCTGAAAAATCATTGAAAATAGAGTCCTATCTTTTTTTCTTTTGGAAGTTTATGGTTGTTTAGAAAATTAGGATAATATTCATTCTCTTGAACTCTTTACAAACGAAAGACTGGCACTTTCAATATTTAATTTCGGATATTTATTATTCGGATTAACATTTATAGACACAATAAACAGCAATAACGAGGCTCTGCAAACATTTATAACGGTTCCTGCTTATCTTCAGCGGTTGATAATTATTTTAATGTTGCTAATACGCAACCCAAGGTTCTGACATTATTTTGAGGCATTTGATAAAAGGCAGGCAAGGAAATCGAAATAGCATTAGTTCAATGTGGAATCTGTATAGAATTGAATTCGTTTTCTCTCTTAATCTCTCTCTCTTTAATAACAATAATACATTTCTCTTATACCTACTTGCCAGAAAACCAGTATTTGGAAACATATCTTAGAAGAGATTAAGATATGAGAATAGTAATATGCAGACTGCATTTTTTTATCTGAAACATGAATCAAGAAATGACTAATTGCAAGTTTAATTATTCATGCATTCCAAATATTTACTGTACAATGTTAATATAACAATTCTTTTTATCTAAGCGATAGTTGCGCTGTTTCCATTTCAATATCTTTATTGTTTGAATACATAGTCCCAAAATTCGGTTGTAATACTCTTATCGGAAACGATATGTGACTGACGCGTCCGAATTGATCTACCAAGATTAATGGAATGTCGTATATACATAAATTTTAGGTCAAGATTTGACTATGGTTGCTAAATATTTAATAAAGATAATTAAGGAATAGAATCGTGCTATGTAGATTTTCTGACGTCAAACTGTAAGTAATAAATGGAATAGCATTTACAATAGATATGTAACATTTTTAAGTTAGCGATCTGAAGCCTTGTTTCAATATTATTATCAATATATACGATCATGTATTATATTATGTAGTAGTATAGGTATCAATCTATTCTATGTCTATCTAACAACAAACCTGAACGAAATATTTTCTTTCCATAAAGAAATACTATTTTTCTAAATACCAGTTATTACAGTAAAGTGTAACATGTAAATAACTGTTGAAAATAATAGTCTACGATGTCTACAATTCCTTTGTATAAGGTTGGGTAGGAAATATAAGTAATGGTTGCAAAACATTTGCTTGCCTTCATGCTGTTTGTTGCATTCATTTTAATTTTACAATATAAAATGAAAATATCCATGAAGTCTATATTTTTTCATTTTTACTTTATTTTAAATATTACATGAAGTTGTACGTTATACAAATGCTAAAAATAGACAAACTAGTTAATCTGTCTAAAATAAAAATAAGCTATCCAAAAAGTAGATATTAATGAAAAAACACTTACCTGAATAGTGCTAGAAACCTTCCAAAAATATTATCTTCTATTCTTGTTTCTGATAGCCACGTGGACAAAGACTTGCTTAAAATTGGCATCCTTTTAAAAATCGAATTAATGGACAACGGTATTTTTTTAAATACTCGTATATGCCTTCCATCTAATGTTATTAAAAAGTGTCAATTTGTAATCAGTTACAGTAGATACGACTATCAAAAGCTCACTGATATATACAGGGTGATTCAGTCATAATGTCATTAATTTTAAGGAAAGATAGGAAAAAATGGGTAGAATCCGAGAACATGATTAAACAAAATTTTAAAATGCATATTTACACTGAAAAAAAATTTCAAATCATTATTTAAACCCCTTTTTGGACTGCTACTGGCCGCTGATTCACGAAGATTTATCGAGAGTGAATCTTGACCTACCGTAATATTTAGTCATTAACCTAGCTTTTAATGGTTTTTTAATCCATAGTGAACGACAACGAATAAACTGTTTTCACTATGTTTTATAATTGAATATGGGTGTTTAGTATTATGTTCAATTCAGTTTGTAGTAGGTATATCTTATTGTGTGACTTATTGCTTTTCAAAGAGTATTACTCTTGGTACCTGGCACCTACCTATTTAAAATGACAGTACGATTAAAAACACACTCATTCATCCATCCATAGTACTTTTTAAATAAAATTGGTATCCGTTGCATTTTGATTTTGAAACGAAGTGCAAAATTCAAGACGACTGGGGAAATCAGCTGTTTCGCTTCAACGTTCGAACGCTCTGTCGGTTACTAACCTAGTTTTTACTGCGTTTTTAATGCGTGTGAACGTCAAGGAATAAACAGATCTCTTTGTTAATAAACACAAATATATAAGGATAATAATTGTTTTCGAATGTTAGGTTACTACAATTTAGTATTTTTAATATTGTTAACGTTAACGTTCACTGTATTTTTTAATGGAATAAGACTTCTTAGTATTATGATCAATTAATTATACAGTTTGCAGTACGTATATCTAGTGACTTATTGCTTTTTAAGAGTAGTATGGTACTTACCTATTGGAAATCCCAGTACGGCTAAAAGAACACTCAATCGCGCAACAATTTGTTAATAAAGTTAGGATCTGCTGCAATTTGATTTTGAAACCAAGCAAAATTCAAGACGAATCAGCTGTTTCACTTTCCGGTCAGAAAATGTGAGGGCGCCGAACTAGCGGAAGTTAAGATTAGATTAGAGATAACTTTTTTCGATTTTCTGTCTCTATTAGGCCTTCCGAATACGTGGTCAAATTAATGACATTATGAATCACCCTGTACGTAGGCAATTCCAATATTTTTGCCAATATCCTCAGGATATTAGACGACTTTCTTACATTTTATATTATTGACATAAAAATATCCGACTATGCTCTGAGAACCAATACCGAAGTGTAAAGTCCCATAATAGCAAATGTGGATTAAGGTTATGCCTGCAAACAAGGTTGCGATATATTGGAACGAGTACAAAGTGTTTTATAATTCCATATACGTAATATACCAGTATCTGAGAATGATGAGATCTAACCGGCTGTTCAAGAGAAACTAGATTTCAGCGGTCTTGAAAAGATCATTAGATGACTAAATATTTTACCTATCCATACTAGGTATTTAGTCCTTTAAAACATTTCTAGATGGTTAAAATTAGAAATATTATTACTGTACGTAACATTTTTAAACTTTTTTTTACTTTATCTCTTCATGGGAAACTGCTGTATATTTTTTATCCGCTTTATAGTTTGGCAAAACATAACCAATCTCGAAATAACATTCCTTAACAAATATGTGTCACATGGCCTACAGAAATAATTATGGTTAATTATCTAAGCCTGTACATGAGTATATTATGAAAACTAGTTTATGATCTGTCTACCAGAACGTGATAGTCATGGTGTAATTATTAATTAATGACTACAATTTTTATAAACAAGCTCTCGAGGCGCGATTTTATTATATTTCGTAGACTGATAAATACCTTTCCTTATATGCTGTACTTTACTTATTTATTAAATAAACTATGAAAATGTATGCAAAATATACCTTGCATTTTATATTATGTTATTGAATTGAAAAGAAAATCATTTAATATTTTACCACTTAGGTAGTAGGCCGATTAAATAAATTCAGTTCCGTAGTTACTGCAAGTGTTTGCAAATTTTGATTCAGTTTATTGAAGAGATTTCGGGATTGTCATGTTTCTTCTTCAACTATGAAATTATAACTGTAGTTCATAAATATGTTTAAAAGTAGCATTTGTAAGCAATTAATCTTCATTTGTAGATAGATCAGCTTTATGAAATCATCCGTTATATTAATATATTTTTCATAATTATTTTATTTGACGTC